CCCCAAAACCCCAAAACCCCAAAACCCCAAAACCCCAAAAGAATAATAATTTATAGAATAAATTATTGGGTATACTCTATGGCAGATAATACGAACCAACAGATTGGACATACCTTTCTGACTAGGAACCAAGATGTATCAGGCCTCACCAAGAGACCAGGGATGACCACAAGTATCATTTCAGCATTTCCAAAGGGAAACATGCCTGAGGTTAAAGGCAATACAGGAGGTAGAGTAGGCACTCTTTTCGGAGGTGTTCTGACCATCCTTGCTATCATGATCGGCAGTGGTGTTATTGGAATTCCCTACGCTGCTTATAAACTGGGTCTTATACTTGGGCTAGCTATTCTGTACCTCGCAATCGCCCTCGGCCTTCAGTCTGTAGATTTGCTGTATGAAAGTTCAAGGATGACAGGTTGAAATAGTCTGAGTGAAATTGGATTTTACTGACTTGGGAAGATTTCTGTGTATATTATTAATATTGTAGTCTTTACCAAAAGTTTTGGGATGCCTATAATTTACTTCATTCTGACAGGAACTTGTTTCAGTCAGATTGCTGCTAAAATTGAAGGAGCCCCAAACTGGTTGACTTACAGGCAGCCATATATAGGAGTAACCGCACTTCTACTAGCATATTTTGTATTCAAAAAGGATATCACTGATCTTAAGCCAATAGCATTTTTCTTATTCCTTGGTGTGCTTTGATTCATCATTCTTTTGGCAGTACACATGATCTTCGAGCAGAGTACAACATGGAATGAAGATAAGCATCCTCATTCAGAATACTTTTTCCCATTCAACGAGAAACAAAGCAAATTGAGATTAATTTACATGTGCACGACCATCTTAGTTGGAGTGTCTTTCCAGACAGTTTTCTTTCCTGTTCTTAACAACTTGGAGGACAATAGTAAAAAAAATGTAATGAAGACAGCCGGCGCATCTATGAGTATTGCTGGTCTAATTTACACTGGATGTATCTTCATTTCCATCTATGCCTTTGGCCATAACGTCCATTCTGATATCCTGAAAAATGTTGGAGAGAATTCTGGCTGGGAAACTTATATTCTTGGAGCAATGTTTGCAGTTGTTGGTGCTCTACATATTCCACTAATTTTCTTTGTTGCCAAAGAAGCATTGCTTATTGCGGTTTTTACTTTCTTTTATACTGTGTCTGACAAAGCAGCTGAAGGAGAAGAAGGACAAGATACATCTCATCTTTTAGTTGAAGATGTTTCTCAATTTTCAAAGCTGATCCCAAAATCTGATTTTGGAGGGGATGAAAATGATGACAAAGGTCCAACACGTTCTCAATTAAACCACACTGCTATCTTGAAAAAGACCACTGTAATTCCAAATATTGATGTTTCTATTACCAGACAAGTCCTAGCCGTTAATGGAAGACTAAGAAACGGAGGTAACAAAGACTATGATGAGGAACTAAAAGCAGCAGAAGGAGCTTCTAAAGAACCAAGTCATCGAGACCTCCCTCTATTTCTGTACCTGACTTTAACTCTGGTCATCTATGCTCTAGATGTTGCTCTAGCCTGTGTCCTAGATGACGTTTCGATTGTATTTGGATTTGTTGGAGCCCTATCGATATCAATGCTATTCTTCATACTCCCTGGAATATTTTACTTGAGAGCATGCACTTTATCAGGAGAGAGTGGAACTTTATTCAGGAAGTGCGTATCCTGGTTCTATATAATTTTTGGCTTCGTTGTGATGTTTGGAGGGCTTGCATCTGTAATTGTCAAAATAGTTGAAGATGACTACCATGATCCTGAACCTGAACCAGAGTAACCCTTTAAAGTGTAATAATTTCAATTAAATTTTAAGATAAAGGGGTTTTGGGGTTTTGGGGTTTTGGGGTTTTGGGG